TATATATATATATATATTATTGTATTTGGGTTTTTTCCCTTTCTTCTTTCTCTTTTTGTTATGTGTAAATCTCAATAAAAAGTAATTGATTGAAAAAAAAAATGGATTAAACTTCTTCTGAATAAATATGGGATTCCTGTTGGATCCTCTGCACTGACGGACTTGAGGTCCACCTCAAGGTGAAGATTTCTCTTCACCTCCCATCTGGAGATACAACAAGATGAGGATATCTCTGCAAACTAAGGAGACATTCCCTCTTGGACAGTTGTTACCAGAACAAGTATCACTTTTGGGAGACTTCCCCTCTCCTCCTGTTCTGGAGACACTTTGAAAATTTGGGATTTGCCATCATTCTTTGTCCGGGTGACAGTAGTAGGGAGAGGCTAAATATCCCTAGTGGGTACACAGACCAACAAAAAAATCAACACTTCTATATGGTGTGGGGGGATGCTGGGAGGTTGCCCTGAGGCTCTATTCCACCAAATCCCCTCTTATGCTGTGTCCTTTTTTTTGGTGAGTAACGGCCTAGAGAGCCATTATGCTCTTTCAATTATTGTAGATGGAAGTCAGGGTTCTCCCTATGGGATAACCTGTTTTATGTACATATATTTCCTTATTTCTGGCTACTATTCTGGATATTATCTGAGGGGCGTAATTGGTTATAATGCTTGGTTGGCTTAGTATGGGGGTCCCTTTGATATAGTATCCTCTCTCTTATGCATCCTATATATATGTTTGGCTTATTTTAGGTGGATCTGTTGTGGGTATGAGATAATTTTCCTCCCCCACCATACTACTATTACCCCTCTCTATAGCCTCTGACTCCGGTCTCCATCCTCCCTCACCCTGGGAATACGTGTCTCCCCGCTGACTTCACACTGAGGGGGTAAGAATGGTTGGCACCTCTCGGCAATTATGCTTCATTATATAATGTTTTTGATGATTTAGTATTTATGTCTTCTTTTCTATGATCTTCAGATCACCTCCTCCTCCTGATGAAGCGCCTATTGGCGCGAAACCCGTAGAGTACTTTGTCACCACCCACTAATCTGGTTCCAGTTAAAGGTTCTCACAACTATCACATGGATTGTATTCCTTCATATTTTTTCTAATTTATGCATATCCATCCATTGTATTATATGGTACTACTTAGAATAATCATGTTATCACATTCCTTTATCATGCCTAGTATGACCTCTATCTTGGAACATAGTGGGTGTTAGGAGGTGTTTTCTCTCTCTCTCTATCTTTTATGATATATTATCAACTGTGATGTTTTTAACTTTTTGTAATGGATTATAATAAATAATTTATTTTTATATGCTAAAACTTTTTAGGGCTTATTGGACTTGTCATTTAGTGCCTAAAATTTGTTTTACCTTTCCTTTTTGCCATTGTTACTTCTATACAAAACTGAGAAAAATGGCTTTAGGAATTCTTTAATTTTAGGTATTTTCATAAATGCAGTCTGATATTGTTTACAGCAACCAGATTCCACCTGAGATTTCCAGTTCAGGCTTGAAAAAGAATATGATCTGTTGCTATGATTGAGCAATGTAAACGCTTTTCATAAAGCCCTACGTAACCTGCTTCTACTTTCCAAACATAATTACAGAACATAAAACTCCTAAATATCCAAGAAGGAAGTTCCCGTCTATATAATCCCAAAAAAGGTAAATACACCTAAGCCTACTGAGACAATCAGTATCATTATACTTCCTAGTAAGGAACCCTGGACAGC